ATAAAAATCAAGTCCAAAGTCCATCACGAAGGTCAGATCCCTGAAAGCAAACACTGGATGCCCGAAGTCTACTGAAACTCTCAGCTCCGCTAGATGTTGTCCAGACAGACAACGTTCGCTTGATATGCAGCGCGTCACAGCATTGTATCAAAACCAGGCAGCGCGAGTCAGAGTTGATCAAGGCCAGACAACGCCTCCGCTGTATGCAGCACCTCGCTGCATCGTACCAAAGCCAGACCGTGTGCGTCAGCATTGGACCGAGTTCAGACGGTGTCCCTCCAATAAATAGCTTGAGATCGTTGTGCTTTCGCACCCGCACGCACTCACGCTCTCGCACTTGCTTGTTAGGAATATAGCTGTTGTATTCCCTTCGGTGAGTCTTTTTTTCCGGCACTAGGCGCTGAAGCGGGCCGGTAGCGGATACCATGGATTAGCGAATCAGCAGATATAAACAAAGTCCAAATGATCTTTGTACACAAAATTGTTGATGCGGAAACGAAGAAGCCACGAGACTTCCATACGTGTCGTGCTTCTCCATGAACGGGGAACAATGTACCGTGCGAAAACGGGACAAAACTAGACGAAAGCTTGTCTGATCACTGGAAAATCAAACACGTATGGTTTGAACATATGAGTAAGGAAGTTTGTAAGGAGTGTTCGATAGGGGATAAGCCTCTCGTCTGACTCGTTTAACATAAAAGCACCACAAATTGGGATGTCTACAACACATCCTAATGAGTTCAGGCGCAGGTGTGCATGTGTGACTGCTATTTGCATATTAGTTCAGAGTCCTTAATCGATTATCTTAGATCATTTGGCAAGCTTCCAAACTGAGAAGTGTATATCTTTAACATCAATGGTCTTGCTTAATTTTATACGTTAAATTTCAATTGATGGTTGTGTGGAGAGATTCGATAATTCGAAATGGACGTTGTCCTGGTACAACGGTGATGCTACTGATGGGGGGCACGCGAGTAGTATGTTTTATCGTAAGTCCGCTGTGTGTCCCTTGAAAAATGAGATCTATTACGGAATTTGTTGAGTCATGTTGGCTTGCATTTGAGTGACAGTCAATGAAAATCCAGGGAAGTTCAGGAAGACGCGTTCAATGAGAAGATGGGAATATACCGTTTTTGTAAACAAGATCCATATGAGAGTTCTGCTTCTCCGTCCACAAGTCTGTAACTATTCAGTTGGCATTTTCTAATACATTACTCCGCAGCAGACGTCTTCTTCCCTTCACTGGTGGCGAACCATTGCACAACTGTTTCATCCTTATTAGGATTCATCAGCAGTGCAAGGAGTCAAGCGAATGTCCAGTCAATTTAGGAAATTTCCTCATTGAAACACTAATCTACATTGAACTAGGAGGAAGAATGAATTCAAAGGAAGGGTTGAACTTCCAGCTGAGTAGTTGTCACTTGAGGAGCCAATCAATACGAGACTACGTGCTGTGGCACCATAGCCTGAATGCGACTCTATCACACTGCTGATTTGCCGTTGGATGCCCCAAGGTTAAGTGTTAAAACACTGACCGGAAGATCGCTCGTTAGTTTTAATCTACTATGACTAGAATATCACATTCGATTTATACTACTTTTTCTTTAAAACCCCATCTCACTTTGTTTTATCCACCTTAAGGCCGAGATCTTGGTGCCACGGCAGATCAGCCGTACTCACTCTCGAGGCGAACCACATGAAATTTCAAACTGCATCCTCTCTGGGATTGAAAACTTGTGCGTTACATCAGCTTCCTGCCACTCAGTACCCCTCAGTCTATGGTTCCCTTGGTCACTAGAAGCGTTTTACTGTGAAAATGTATACTTTGGCCCAGATCTCCGTTCAATGAGATGCATACATACAAAACAGTGAATCATCATGATATGCCCATATGTAGACAATGCCTGTGATTTCTAACTATTAGTTAGGTGTTCATTTTTCGAGGGAGATGAACTACTGACAAATTTCGTATGTTAAGGGTCGCTCGTCACACCCACGTTCATAAAATCAGAGCACCCAGAAAGCACTTCATAACGGTGCATGGTCGGTCATGTTGATAGAAGAGGGGCTATGAAGGGCATTCAGTTAGAACCGGAGAAACACTTTCGCCTCTAGCCTTAAAACGTGGTCTTAAAAGATCTTCACTTGACGCCTTCGTGAACGCCGGGGAACAAACACCAATCTGTCAACCGTCTGGCGTAGTCTACTCGTTTTCAGAGAACATCATTCGCACCGTTATGGTGATGCCACTTAGTCAGAACTAGAATCTTTCTTAGCATTGTCTGATTAGTTAAGCAATTTGATTTGCCAAACTAGCTACCGGGGTAATCGTTCCGAAAGAAGATAAATGTTGCAGTACATGGTGGCAGACAGCCATCTTTGAAAGGTGGCGCCGTATGGGTGTGATAGCTCCAAATATTGGCGAATTCTTGATGCTTTTTTCACTCTGGCCCGAAACGTCGGTCAGTAGACACGAAGGGGCTGGACAGATGGAAACCAAAATTTTACGAGAGAAAAATACCGAAACGTCAAATCCAACACGATTTCTTCCTCATGGGTTGCGCTGTGCGTTGAATAGTCATCCCGAGCAATGCAGTCAGTAACCCACTACTAGGTCCGAGCCAGAATATTGCTTCAAATAGTTGTGCCTACACAGAAACCTGCAAAACACTCCACAGAGTAGAGATTTTTCTTTGAGAGCCATTGATTCACTTGTACCTATAACCACCGTATCCTTCCAACGGCCGTTTGGTTCGATTTCTGATGCGGAAACGCTCTAATGAGAATGAGATAACACAGTTTTTATTTATGAAATCCAGAAATATGACAAGTTAGACTAGAAGTTATATTGAGGATCAGCCTGACTGGGATCACAGAAGAACCATTTTCCGCACCACTTCTACACGGGCGAAATTTCAGGACCACACAGAAGTGTGTTTCCTTAGAATCACAATTTTTTTGAATCCTGACAAGCGACAACAGCCTACTCTATTGACGTTCAATGAAGAATCCGCTTTGATTTCTAGGATCCCGCTGCCTCCACCAGGTCTAATCACTCAAAGATCAAAACATCTCATTGTGAACTGTCTCGGGGTAACTGCAAACGACCTAAAATATGTTTTTTATAAACGTTCGGAAGTCAGATAGAAGGATGTTGACGAAAATAGAACGGGTCTGTGGTTGATTTGAGCTGACTTTCTTTGCGACGCTATTGTGTTTCTTCATGTTGCTGCAAGCCAAAATCTTCAGTTTTTGGTGTTCGGGTAGTAGCCAGGATTTTGCGGTTTTTTGACGCATTATCCAAACTAACCATGAAATGGTTATTGGGATTATTCCCCTGATAATGTTGCGTTGGGCATGTACTTGTCAACTGTACCAAAATTAGTGTGAAGCCGTGACCGAAAAGAAGTTCTTGAAATAGCGTGTGTAGCATGGATGAATGGGTAGCTCCACCGAGTGGAGCTGAGGGCTACCGAACCAAGACTAAGAAGGTGAATCTGATCGGATGCATACCTGTTGAACGGATGGGTCACGTTTGTTGCTGCGTGTTCCGCTAGGCAACTTTAAAGCACTGAACCCTAAAATGGCTCTGTGTACCTGTTTTGTTATATTATGTGCTACTCATGATATGTGAGTAACTAAAGAAATTCGAAAAAATCGGCTTGTAGGTTCACCCTATTCCCAAGACATGAGGATGGGAATTGATTCAAAATCCATTTATTTTTGGAAAGCGCACACTGAGTTCATTCATTTGCCGATTCCAAGCAAATAAGCAGGTCAGAACCATCATCAAAATATCGTCAGCTGGTGGTGGTCGCGCAATATATGCATTATATATATATATATATATATATATATATATATATATATATATAACATACGA